CTATTCTATTCTATTCTATTCTATTCTATTCTATTCTATTCTATTCTTCATTCTGAACTCAAGAAGCTTCTTGGATGAGAAGCGAAATATTTTCAGGGGGGGAAACCCATGAAATTCCAGTTGCTTTTTGAAAGCACTTTTGGGATAACCATGTCCTGGATTATTGAGAATCTCCATAGATGACCCAGCCCTTGGTCTTTGGCCATCTCAGAAAATAGAAGCCTGGTTGATCGATTCATTGCTTGATCAGAAAGTGGCATCACAAACACAGCATTGTGATCGTTGTGCTTATCCATAAAATAGATTTAGGAAAGTGTTTCTCAGCCTTGGCAACTTTAAGTTTTGTGAGCTTCATCTCCAGAATTCCCCAGCTAGCAATCTTAAAATTGCAAAGGTTGGGAAACACACATTTTGGAAGAGCCTGCTGTATAAACTCAGCCACTGTACCAAGGATTTAGTGTGACACTCCTCCTAGGAGTTGGATGCTAACTACAAGAATAATATACTTAAGTGTTGCTGGGTTGCTCTTAAGGTTACAGCTTCCATTCCTAAGGTTTGCAATCACCACATACCCAAAAGAACGAGGGTTTAGATCAGATGCATTGGCTAGAATGCCAAAACATAGTTAGAATGTCCAGAAAGAGGTTTGTTTTATTTCCAAACATTTCCTGCTTTGTCTAAATAATCTTGGGATGTAGGAGAGAATGGCTCTCTTACTTTGAGGTTAAGTTATATTTGATGGACCGCTTGGAGCTGTACTGCGTTAATGACACATCTCAGTTGTAAGCAAAGACAAAGAATGTGTGTGGTATGTGCGAGCCTGTATAAATTATAACACATATGTAATGTAGATTGTAAATCACATTAATGTAGACAGCTGTTCTATATCCCAGAGAGTTTGTTTGGGTGACTGCTTGGCTGGTATAAAAACCTTTAAATGAATGTTATATTTCTAGCTTTCTTCTCTATAGTGGGTTTACATAAGAGTAAAATTAGAAAGAGGAGTGTCCTACATCCTTTTGTACCGAAGGATTGTTGAGATTTTGTAGAAAACTCTCAAACTGTTTTATATGTTGTTTATTTATGGTAGCTAAAAATAGCTTCGTGGTATTGCAGAGTATCTATAGTGATGGAGGAAGCTGATTTTAATAATATCGTGTACTGTTAGACTTGACTTCATCTGTTCTTGCACTTTGTAAACCCGTAAGGTACTGCTTTTCCAGCATGTCTTTGTGGCTTAAGCTGATTGGGGGCATGTTATCATAGTTAGATTTATCATCTTAGTTTAGCCTGTGAATGTTTTTGTGTTCAGTTGTGCTTTCATGTGAATCTTGAATAATGTGATGTAGATGCAATATCCTTAATATATATTAAAGGTAAAGGTTCCCCTCGCACATAATACGTGCTAGTCATTTCCGGCTCTAGTGGGCAGTGCTCATCTCCATTACAAAGCCAAAGTGCCAGTGCTGTTCGAAGACGTCTCCATGGTCATGTGGCTGGCATGACTAAACGCCGAAGGCTGTTTACCTTCCCATCAAAGTGGTCCCTATTTTTCAACTTGCTTTTTTTTTTTACATGCTTTCGAACTGCTAGGTTGCAGAAGCTGGGACAAGTAACAGGAGCTCACTCCGTTATGCAGTGCTAGGGATTCGAACCACCAAACTGCCGACCTTTCTGATTGACAAGCTCAGAGTCTTAGCCACTGAGCCACCAGGGTTTAAATCGTGATTTTTGCAGAGTGGATAATCAGACCATGGGGATCCAAAAGGGATGACATTTATGGGATATTTTCAGCCAGGAATGTATGTTAAAGATTTTGCTTAACCATGTTATTGATAAGCATTAAGTTACCAAACATAAAAGGAACAGTTGGAAACTACTAATATGAAGTCTTGATCACAAGCCTTTCTGGATAGTACTAATAAAGTGAATATTTTTAGCTCAGGGTTGAAATGAGGTGTCTTTGGTGCTCTCTAAGCTTTGTTGTTTCCTTGCAGACGTTTCATTACCCAACTAGGAAACATCATCAGTATTAGAAGAGAGTGGGGTTTGCTCTCTATTCTAGCACCGATGATGTTACCTAGTTTGGGTAATGAAATGACTGTAAGACAACAGTTGTGGTTAGAGAGTGCCAAGGACTCCTCCTTTCTAGACAGTGTTTCCAGTGTTTTGTTTTTTGGGATGGGATCTTGTTTTCATGATTGCTCAAACATTTTGGGCAGACATAATCTCAACTTATCCTTTAAAAAAAACCCACTAGTTCTGCCAGCTCATATACTTTTCAAATAACTTTCCTTCTCTGTAGTCAAGATGGGAGAAATTTGCAAAGCAGGTAGAGGATACGGGTACTTTCGTAGCTATGAGGTGACCAAGGGGTTACTTGGGAATGTCTCATCTTCTATTAATTCTTTTACCACACAGTCTTCTCTCCAGCAATCCAGCATTCCTAGGTTCTCCCTTTGCCATTCAATCTCAAGGAAAGACCACAGGGGAGCCCCCTTCTGTCTTTTATTTACCCACACTGTGTGCGTGTGCCAATAGAGAGGCTTTGAAAGGATGGAAAAAGGTGTGAGAAGAAGGGGGAAAAACAGCACCAGGAATAGCATACTCCACCTTTACGTAAACTCAAAGGAGCCCCTAAGAGAAATTACAAATTCTTAAGCTCCTGACAACACAGGAGAAATGAAGAAGCTTATTGCTTAGGGCAGGGGTGTTAAACTTGGATTTTATTGAGGGCTGCATCCGGGTTGTGTTTGACCTCAAAGGGCCAGGGGTGGGGTGTGACCAGGGATGGGCGTGGCCAGCTCAACATCACTCATGTTGGGGGCACCTGTGGTGGCCAAGTGCTAAGGCAGGACTTCCCTGAGACCCTCCCTCATTCTCATTATAATCTTCCTTCCTTCCTTCCTTCCTTCCTTCCTTCCTTCCTTCCTTCCTTCCTTCCTTCCTTCCTTCCTGCCTGCCTGCCTGCCTGCCTGCCTGCCTGCCTGCCTGCCTGCCTGCCTGCCTGCCTGCCTGCCT